AAGAGACCAGAGAGAGACCTTGAGAGAGACCAGGAAGAGACCAGAGAGAGACCAGAAAGAGACCAGAGAGAGACCAGGAAGAGACCAGAGACAGACCAGGGAGAGACCAGAGAGGAACCAGAATAAGACCAGAGTGAGACCAGAGAGATAGAGAGAACAGAGAGGGACCATAGTGAGACCAGGATGAGACTGCAGAGAAAGACCAAAGAGAGACACAGGGAGAATAACCCAGAAAGTCCCTGTTCTGACCAGGATTCAAGAGACCAGAGGGAGGCCAGAGACAGACCAGGGAGAGACCAGAGAAAGACCTTGAGAGAGACCAGGAAGAGTCCAGAGAAAGACCAGGAAGAGACCAGGAAGAGACCAGAGAGAGACCAGGGAGAGGCCAGAGAGGGACCCTCTGAGACCAGAGAGACCATGAGAGAGACCATGAGAGAGAGAACAGAGAGACACAAGGAGAACATGCAAGTCCCTGTTCTGACCAGGATTCAAACCCAGTGAGAATGCTAACCACTCTGCCAGTGAGCAGTGTGTGAAGTCAGATGGATAAACAATAAAATATTTTTATTTTGTTAAGTTTAACAACGACAACGATCACAGATTCATTCACAAAAGTCTGATATTACAAACTTTAAAGAAGAAATGATAAAAATATAAGAATATACACAGTATTTAATAATGAGACTGTCATTTCATGTTTAAAATGAAATGTGAAATATGTAAAAAATATATGAGAAACAGAGGGAGCAGCGTCTGCAGTCAGAGCTCTCTGTGCTGCCACTAGCTGGGAGTTTAGGAAGCAGAGTGTAGTGACAGACTCGGGCCACCAGAGGGAGCAGCGTCTGCAGACAGAGCTCCAGAGTGTTGTGACAGACTCGGGCCACCAGAGGGAGCAGCGTCTGCAGTCAGAGCTCCAGAGTGTTGTGACAGACTCGGGCCACCAGAGGGAGCAGCGTCTGCAGTCAGAGCTCCAGAGTGTTGTGACAGACTCGGGCCACCAGAGGGAGCAGCGTCTGCAGTCAGAGCTCCAGAGTGTTGTGACAGACTCGGGCCACCAGAGGGAGCAGCGTCTGCAGTCAGAGCTCCAGAGTGTTGTGACAGACTCGGGCCACCAGATGGAGCAGCGTCTGCAGTCAGAGCTCAGGACTGGAGCTGGTAGATGTTCCTCACTGGTGTCTCCTGCTGCACCTCAGAACCTGTGAAAAGAACCAGGATTGAACCGGGTCTGAACCAGGTCTGAACCAGGATTCAACCAGGACTGAACCAGGACTGAACCACTTGTGAACCAGGTCTGAACCAGGTCTAAACCAGGTCTAAACCAGGTCTAAACCAGGTCTGATCTATGTCTTAACCAGGACTGAACCAGGACTGGACCGGAACTGGACCCGGTCTGAAACAGGACTGGGTTGGGACTGAACCGGGTCTGGAGCATGTCTGGAGCAGGACTCAGGAATTATTATTAATGATTTTTTTATTTATTTGTTTGGAGGATAAGCCCCTGGAGATTAAACATCTCGTTTTTGAGCAGGTCCTGTCAGAAACAGTGTGGCAGACAGAAGAATATCAGAATTCATAGAAAATACACACACACACGCACACACACACACACACACACACGCACACACACGCACACGCACACGCACACACACACACACACTCACCGGTCTGGTCGGTCTTGTCTCCTGTGTGGACTTCTCTCTCTGAGACGTTCTTGTAGGAGACCTGAGGACATGTTTTTACTTCAGATTTAAATGTACCGAATGTGTCGCTACATTTAGAGCTAACAGTTAGCATTGATCTTGTGGGGTTTAGCCAAGCCCCGGTGATCCAAGATGGCGGCGTATTCAAATGAATGTTTGTGCTCAGTGGCGCGTTGTGCCGGCACGGGCGCCGAAAGATTAGCAGAACTCGCTTGTATTTGGGCATCGTCTGGTCCTCCCGGTTCTGTGCAGTGGACGAGCTCCCATGATGCGTCGCGCCAAACGTGCGTGTGTGGGTCTCATGCACGTGCACAGAGGGGCTCGCCGCGCTCTGACCAATCAGAGCTGATCATCAGAGCGGAGTCAGAGCGGGAAGGAAAGGAGCAGTTTGTGGCAGTAAAGTGTGGATTTAAAGAAAACTGAAGGATTTAAGAAGAAAAAAAGTTCAGGATGAAAAGGGACACTAACTGACTATCTGACCTTTATGAAAGCTGTAGGTTCTCTGTCAGGTTCTCTGTCAGGTTCTCTGTCAGGTTCTCTGTCAGGTTCTCTGTCAGGTTCTCTATCAGGTCCTCTGTCAGGTTCTCTGTCAGGTTCTCTGTCAGGTTCTCTGTCAGGTTCTGTGTCAGGTTCTGTGTCAGGTTCTCTGTCAGGTTCTCTGTCAGGTTCTCTGTCAGGTTCTCTGTCAGGTTCTCTGTCAGGTTCTGTGTCAGGTTCTGTGTCAGGTTCTCTGTCAGGTTCTCTGTCAGGTTCTCTGTCAGGTTCTCTGTCAGGTTCTCTGTCAGGTTCTCTGTCAGCTG